CTGAAGGCCAAAAACCACCTGCTTAGGAACACAGGGATCTCAGTATATTTCATGCCAAATGAAAAAATTCAACCTGGTCAAAAAGTAAGTCTTCAAAGGGGAAAAAAGTTCTACCAGACTGCTGCTGGACAGACTAGAGAAATGAATGAATAAAGGTTATGTGTTATGTATGCAAGTACTGAGTCTCATATCTACACTGATAATCAAATACAAGCTACCTCGGACAAAAAAAACCCCAGAGTGTGAACAGAAAACCAGAAGTATAGCTGGCATGCAGGATACTGATAAACTGGGAGACTTATGGAATCAACCTGGAGAAAGGGATAAAAACAGGTTTATCTGCCAGTAAAGTTTATTGTGTCAAAGAAGTAATAAGCAGAGTACCAACTAAGAAACTGCTGGAAATGACCCATACAGAGAAGAAAGACAACAACTATGGGAACTACTATGAGAGGCCCAAACTAAGAGTAACCTGGCAGCCATTGGGACATGCATTTATTCTGAGAACCACCAGATTGCTTTAGAGTTTTTATTCTACCCCACCACCCCCCCTTGAATTACAAAATAATATGTGACTAAATCTGTGTTTGCATCTCTAGGGAAAAAAAAAAAAACCAAACAACAGGACTTGCAAAATTTGCTGAGCACCAGCAGTTCTTTGAAGATGATGGCAGGTGGCACATATTTAGCATTTTTGAGGATTAGGAGCTGCAATGCAGATTTTTTTCTTTTCTCTCCTGATTTAGAAAAATCTTGGGCAATGTCCTACCAACAGAAACCACACCTTCTAAGACAACTCAGGAAAAGAAATGCCAGAATTTTTTTTTGCTTTTTAAATTTCTCGTTCTGACTGTAGCATACAAGGGAAGAGGGAATGGGAAGTCTGCTATAAATAATGCAGAAAAAATAAAGTTTAAAAGAAATTCTGTCTTTAAAGTCTGAAAGTACAAATGAAATGATCACCAAGAAAATGTCATGCTTCACTTCCAGATACACCGATGCTCACTGTATACATAGCAAAGAGCACTCACTTTTCCCTCAGGTATATCTTACTGCTTTGGAAATACATCCCCTTTCTCCTACTCTGATTTGCTGTAAATGATTACACTAAGTTCAGGCAATGCAAACTCAGGCTTGCTGTCTGGGTAGCACCTTGCAAACAGTCTTTATTGCCTCTGTGAGTAAGACTAACCTTACATACGCTAAGGCTGAGCCTCACTCTTTCTCAACACAATCCACTGGCATGAGAAGGGAGAAACATAGTACCTGGGGTGCAGGTGTGGCAGCAGGGACAGCATGCCTCTGCAGGGATAACACAGAGGCAAGGGGACCAAATGCAGTATCTTTATTGCCACGGCAAAGCTTCCTTACAATAACAACCTGTGACTCAGCACATTTCATGGGGACCCGGTGCCCAGCAAGGCTGTCCCTCAGCTCTGAAACCTCACACACTCACCCACCTCCCCAAGTTTTCCCACACCCACCTGGGGAAACTTAAGGCTACTTCAGCTGCAGAAATTTGTTCTTCACCCAGAGGGATGATTATTACATATCTAAGAAAAGATTAAGCCCCTCAAAAGACACCAAGAGTCAGAACCGTTCCCAGAGGAAGACAAGCTACATGCCCTTCTCCCCCAAGCATCCCTCCTCCACTTTCCAGACACAAAGTGCGCCTAAGCTGTGCTAGGAAAGGACAACTTGAGAAAGCAAGCCAACTTGTCCTGCAGGAAAAGCCAAAGGCAAGATGACATGCCCCTGCCCTAAGGAAGCATGGCAGGTGGCTGTCAGAGCGGGCACCTCACAGGGTTCTCACCAGGACTTACTGTGTTTAATCACGGTCAGCAGCTGATAGGGAGGACAGCAGGGACGAATCATCCACACACCCAGGAGCCCATAAGAACTTGCAGCCTACAAGCCTCTAATAATTTACTTTTTTTCCTCTTTTTTTCAATTCTGAAGGCATGTGACTGGCCTTCACATACCAGAGCTGACCCCTCCCAGAGCCAGCGATTTCCTAAGAGCAGAGAAGGATGTTACCCTCCCGCTTATTCATTACAGAACTACCCTTCCTTGTTGTTACGCATTAAAAGCTTACGCCATCTAGGGTCCGCATATCAGTTCAGCTCAGGGTTCCTCCAGAGCGATGTAAAAGGTGCTATGGTACTCAGCTACCTGCTTCGAGCAGGGCACAGCCGTGGGGAGCACCGGCTCACCTTTCCTAACTGGCACGCGGCTTTCGATTTCCAGGTGTAAACCATTAACTCTTTGATCTCATACCCACCCTCCCCGTCTGTACCGGACCGTGAAGAACTGCTAGTATTTCACACTCTGTTCCCCCATAAATTAGTACTGGTACATGGAAGTGTACCCTCTCCCTGTGCACTCCCCCACGCACTTTTATGTCACTGAAGTACTACGGCACAGAGAACTGCTGAGGCTTTGATTTCGGTTTTTGTTTGCCTGGGTTCGCAGCACGGTTTCTACAAAAGGGGTGGTTATGCTTCTTGCTGTGCCGCCCTGCAACGCGGCACGGCTTTGCTCCCAAGCCCTCCGCGCCCCAGGCCGCCCTGCTTCGCTTTGCACTTGCGGCTGTCCGCCCGCGGAGGCCCCATTCCTGCCTACAGGGCGGGGTCCGCTACCTGCTCCCCTGCCCGCACCCGCTCCCCCGTGACCGCTCACCGGAGGGGGGCCGAGGGAGCTGCACGGGGGAGCCGGCGGCGCCGGGCGCAGAGACCCCAAGTGGCTCCGCGCTGTACCGCAGGGAACCTGCGGCCTGC